GGGGAACTGACACCTATTAAGCATCTCTTGTGTCCCAATTTCTGTGCTGGGTGCTTTACCTGCGTTAGCTCATCTAATCCTCCTAAAACTTCAGGCAGGTTAGGGAAGGACAGCAGCCAGCAGTCATGCTGGGTTTTACTTTTTCCAAAGTACTCCCTTATCATCTCCTGTAATTATCTCCCAACCCCTTGAGACAGGGCAAACAAATACTGTCCTTCCCATTTCAGGCTGAGGCTAAAAGACTGGTCTAAAGTTACACGGCTGTATATAGAGCTAAGGCTTGAACTCAGGACTTCTTATGCAAAATCTCATGATCTTTCCACTCGAAAGTCAGACGAGACGAGGTCTGTGCTGAGGCCAATCCCAGGCCCCTCCTGGGAGCCCCTGGCAGAAACCAGCGCACACAACCCAGCCTGTCCAGCCCAGCCTGCTGCCTTGTGGTAGACATGGGGCCGTGGCCAGGGAGGGAGAAAATGACAAAGGCACGAGCTGGTTTCTGCCCTTGAAGAGCGCCCAGTCTGGAGGAGGGTGGATGTCAAACACACGCCCAACCAGACAGAGGCAGGGAAGCATGGAGGCAGATGAACAGAACTTCAGGTCCCCAAGCTGGAGACTGAGAGGATTCTGAGCTGAGGGCAGGAGTGTCTGACCACGGGGTCCCAGCTGCCTCCACCTCCGCGCTCCCACTTTGTGCCAGATGACTTTGCACCTGCACATGTTGCTTCCATATTGTTTTGTATCTTTTAAGCTGTGATTCTGTATCTAGGCAGTGCCTCCCAGCTAGACTGTGAGCCCGCTGGGGGCAGGGCTCCTTCCGTTTCTTGGGTGGCACCCATCTCTCTATCTTCCCTCCGCACACAGTAAACACTCAATAAATGCTCATTTGTCAATAAATGCTGTTTCTTTCACAACTTAGAAATGGTCCATGCAGTCCAAGGTGCCAGAAGACAGACTGGGGTCTGTGGCATGTCATGAGCTTCCCAGAGCTGCTGCTAGGGACGGTGCAGAGGGGATTTCAGTGCTGAATCAGCTCAGCTAGGAGAACTCTGGTGGCCAGTTCCCACTGTCAGCCTGGCCAAAATGTGCATGCTGGGCTCTGTCACCCAGGTGGTACCACAGGGAGGCCACCAGGACATGGGCCGGCTGTGGGTCCTCCAGAGAGAGTGAAGGACAGCCCCTTTCGGTGCCCTCATGCTGGCTGTAGCACCATGTTGGGAAGTCAGGGCAGGGACCCTAGGGTCTAGGACAATGCCTAACACTCAACATGTCCAAAACTGGCCTTCTGCTCGTCTCCCCAAACCTGCTTCTGCCACAGTCCTCCCCATCCCAACTGATGGCAACTCCATCTCTCCAACTGCTCCGGCCAAAAGGCTTGAATCATCTTTGACTCCTTCTCACACCCAGCCCTGACTCCACCAGGGAACCCTGTCAGTTCTACCTCCAAGGGATCCAGATCCCATCGCTCTCACCTTCAGCACCCGCACTCAGCGCCAGGCCACCGCCTCCCCGCTTCCATTCCTTCCCCTCCCATCTCTTCTCTATACAGCAACAGAGGCGTTTGTGTTAAAACTCTGTCAGCCCATACTAGTCCCCGTGCAATGACTCCCTCACTCTTTCGAGTGAAGCCTGCGGTCCTTCAGGTTACACACAAGGTCTGCCCACTGCTACCACTCTCTGCCCTCCCTTTCTCCCGCTTCAGCAACACGGGCTGCTCCCTCTGCCTGGAAGGTTCTTCCCCAGATACGTGCATGGTTCTTTCCCTCTCCTCTTGAAACCAAGCAGGACCCTGTGGGGCTCCTGGGCACAAAAGCCTTTCTGTGTCCCTTTCTCTGAGTTCCAAAGGGCAGGTTCAAACAGTTGCTAATCAGGGAAGGGAGGGGATATGGAGACAAGGAAGAAGCAGTCAAGAAACAGTAGTACAGCCTTGGGGGCAGGGTCCTGGTTCCCCCTCAAGGGATATATACATAATGTTATCTTTGAGCTCTTCTGAAGAACTAAAACCCTCACCAAATGGAAGATGTGATGAAGCACTCTTCATTCCAGAGAAGGTCACAGTTCACCCATCATAACCTGACACCAGATGATCTCTGGATTGAAGGAATGCGGTCCCTGCATGTACCCTGATCCTTATCGGCAACCCTGCCCCTGGACTATAAGACTTCTCACAGGCCCCCCCAGGGCGGAACACACAGTTTTGAGGGCATTAGCCTACTGTGTCCCCCTTTACCTGGCAAAACAATAGAGCTATTCTTTTCTACTTCACCCAAAACTCTGTCTCTGAGATTTAATTTGACGTTGGGGTACAGAGGCCAGATTCCGCTTCACTCTTCAAGTCTTTGCTCAGATGTCACCTTCTCAATAAGACCCACATGACAACCATTTAAAATGCAAAGAACCAGTTTCCCATAACATATTCTATTTTTCCATAGCACTTAACCACATTCTATTGTACTATATAATTTCAATATATCCATTGTTTATTGTCTGTCTCCTTTCACTAGAATATTAGCTCCACAACGCAGAGACATTGTCTGCTGGCTCATGGCTCTATCCCCAGTGCCTAGAACAGTGCCTGGTACATAGTAAGTGCTCAGTAAGTCTTTGTGGAATGAATGAATGACCCTTCCCCAAACCTGGGGATATGTGGAGTCCTGGCAGCATCACCCGCTGCCAATTACCTACCATTTCTACCCTCAGCCAGAAACTGCTCCCAAAGAACCAAGGGGGCCCAATATCAGGAGAGGAAGAAGGGGTTCCCCCCGAGAGATTCTAACTTTCTGTGCCGCGCACGGGAAGATCCATCTCCCGGCCCAGAGTGGTCCCAGGGAAGCATTCCTCTGGGTCTGTGGCAGGGAAGGGTCCAAGTGCTCAGGGCAAAGATAATTCCAGCATATAGGCGCTCTTGTGACAACCTGGGGACAGAGTAACCCTGATGGTTAGAGAGAGGCAGAAGGGCTTTAAGCACAGGCCTAGGAGATGTAACCAGCTGCCCCCACTTGAGCAATCTGGACAGATATGGTCTCCTTCTTCAGCCACACCAGGCCACTTCTGACGACGCCGTGGGTCCCATCTCAGGTCACGTGTGACCCTGGGCAAGGCAGAACCTCTCAGTCTGATCTTCCTCACAGGCAGCTCGGAATTTAATCACACAGTGGAGGCCAAAGCCATTTGTTGGCTATAAAGGACTGGTCTCAAATCCTCAAGCAGGAGCTTCCTTCCCCTGGTGACACTGCCGAGTCCTTCCCACTCCACGTGTGGATTCACAGCAGTGCCTGAAGAGAGAGGATGAAAAAGAAGGCGGAAGGGGGCAGACTGGAGGCAAGTTCAGCAGTGAAAGGGCTTAGTCCCCAAAGGCCTCTGGGGTCATGAGCGTCATTGTTCCAGTCTGTTCCAGTCTGAACCAGGCCCGCGGAGCCCTGAGCCCTAAGCCCAGATGAAGATCCTGAATACAGCTGCCATGCTCTGCCAGGGGCAGGGCCCCAGGACCCATGGCAGAAGGGACAGATGGGCCTCCTGCCTTAAGAGGAGAGACCTGGGGGAGGAGCTGCTCCAGCAGGAAACCAGGGCAGAGCAGGAACAATAGTGAGGTTTCTTCCTTCCCTGTTTTCTTTGGCATCTTAGCTGCCAGAGCCCACATCCCGCTCCTCCAGGTCCTTGGCTTCCCTCCACGCCCCTCCCTTCAGCCCCCTGACAGAGGAGCACCTGTCCTCTCCCTCTGCTGCACCTTCTCACTTTGCTCCACACAGAGCCCTCAGGGGGGTTTTAACATTACAGTCACAACTTGAGGAAACTTTATTGAGCCTTACTCTGTGCCAAGCACTGTGCTGAGTGTTTCCCAACGACACGTCATGGTAGTGGTGGTGGGGTCATTAGTGCATCTCCACTCCTGGAATCCTGGCGGTGGGTCCCTGCCCCTCTTCCAAGCCCTCAAGGACCCTCCAGCCTCATTCCCCACATGCCTAACCTGGGAGTGGGAAGAGGGAAGGGTGGGAGGGGTGGGTGGAAAGCAGCTGGGAGCTCAGAGGGAAGGGGCAAGAGGGGGGGGGGCGGCGAGGAATGGGACCGAAAGGAAGTGTCACCGAGTCCAGGGGTAGGAGGACTTGACTTTGGGGGAACTAAAAAAGACCAAATGTAAGAGAGACAGACATGGAAAAGGATGTAGAGACAAAGTCATAGAGACTAAAATCACATAGAGAGGAAAGGTGAAACAGAGTAGATAGGACGGCTGAGTCCCGGCGCAGGCTGGCACGGTGCCCACTTATCTCAAAACGCCCCCTCTCCAACCCTGGAGGCCTGCCGGGCCGAGTTGGGGAGAGGCCCACGATGGCCGCCCGCCCCTGCCACCGGCCGGTAGGGAGCTGGATGGCGGCGGCGCTGTCTTCAAGGAAGCGCATCATTCCAACCTTGCCGGGCGCGAAGCCCGGTCAGGATGCCCAGGTCGCAGGAGGAAAAGGAGGAGCTGGACCCAGCGCCCGAAGAGAAGAAAAGGGGAAGACCAAGGCCAGAGATAAAGGTCCAGCGGAGGCAGACGGCCGGAGGTCGGTAGGACGGGAGAGCCCGGACCCGACAAAGTCTCCCGGGGGGCCCGGGACAGGCAGCGCGGAGTAGAGCACGGGAGCCGCGCGGAGTAGAGCACGGGAGCCGTCCGAAGCGCACCATGCGCGGGTCCCAGGCAGCCCGACGGGTCTACAACCGCCAGCCGGGTCACGTGGCCCGAGCGGGCGGGCTGCTGCCCGGGCGCGGGGGAGGGGAGCGGGGGGCCGGGGTCAGCGGCGAGACCGCGGCGGCCTGAAGTTCCCTCCCAGCGCGCAGTGCTGGCCGCCTGGTGCGGGAGCCGCCCACTGCCCCCGCCCTCGCGCCCGCCCGCCCCGCCGCGGGGCGCCTGCCTTGTATATAGCGCGCCCCGCAGGGCCCGCGCCAGGAGGCGAGCCACGCCGCGGGCGCCGGAGAGCCCTCGGCGCCCGGGAGCCAGTCCCCACGGCCCGCTACACTGCCGCCCCGACGTGCGACCCCTGCGGGGGCTGCTGCCTTCAGACCATGAAGAAGGAGGTGTGCTCCGCGGCCTTTCTCAAGGCAGTGTTCGCAGAGTTCCTGGCCACCCTCATCCTCGTCTTCTTCGGCCTCGGCTCGGCCCTCAAGTGGCCGTCGGCGCTGCCCACCATCCTGCAGATCTCGCTGGCCTTCGGCCTGGCCATAGGCACGATGGCCCAGGCCCTGGGGCCCGTGAGCGGTGGCCACATGAACCCCGCCATCACGCTGGCCCTCCTAGTGGGCAACCAGATCTCCCTGCTCCGGGCAGCCTTCTACATGGTGGCCCAGCTGGTGGGCGCCATTGCCGGGGCTGGCATCCTCTATGGGGTGGCACCACGCGATGCCCGAGGCAATCTGGCCGTCAACGCGGTGAGTGTCAGTGGGGCTGGTTGTGGGGCAGGGACCCTGTGGTGGGCTCTGGACCTGGCCCCCAAACCCCATCTCCAGAATGGGTGCCACAGACTGGTCCAGTGCACACCTCTGCCAGGAAGGTCACAGCCTCCTGAGGCGGGGAGGATGGATCTCCATGTGTCCCCCTCAGCCCACTGCTGTGGTTCATATTCGCCTCCTCCGCCTGACGCCCTCATGCTGCCCCATCCTGGCCTCTCTCCTGGTGCCTGCCTGCTGCCCCTCTTTTCTTACCCAAAACTTCTCTCTCTTCTGTCTTACCTCTGAGCTCTTCTGTCCTCTTGGGCGCCTCATTGCTCCTGTGTGCTCCTCAGTGGAGTGGTCTCATGGAACCATCAGAGAGAGGTGGGTTGTGGTACTGTCTTCTGTGGCCCTGGCCTCTCCCGGTCTCGTTTTTCTCACTCACACTACGTGGGAATGGCCATAACAGCAGGGACTATTATGTGGGACTCCTGCATAACAGCAGGAGTCAGGGACTTATGTTTAGAAACCGTGCTTGTGAACTCCCTGATGTGAGGCCAGTGCATACAGTCTCTGATGAGTATTGGTTCCTGCTCCTGGCCCCCTGCTGCCTCCCCCTCACGCAGCCCCAGATTCAGCCTCCATGTCCCATGCAAACTGGGTTCATTAATCAAACACAGAGGAGGATTTTCTCGGCCATTGTCAAGCGGTGAGTCAGCCCCACCAGAGAGACGGGTTTGAGGTTGGAACTGGCAGCGGGTCAGGCACAGGCGAGAGGCTGGCTTGGGGGGTGCCGTAAGCAAACTGGGCAGCTGCCCATAGGAGGGAGGGTAAATGCCAGCTTGTGGGGACTGGGGACTGGGCAGAACGCGTGACAGGCCTGTGTCCGGGAAGCGCTCCCCTCACACTTGCCCTTTAGCCACAGCTTTGCGCTCCAAGCTTTGTGCTCACTGCGAAGTATGTGCTCTCTTCAGCAGATGACCTCCCTGATGTGACAGGGCTTGGCTTCCAGGTGCTCAGGCTCTAGATGTCCCTGGAGGCCAAAAGCCCATCCCCCCAAGTCCCTGGCCATAGAGCCAGAAGAAGGCAGGGCCCCTAACACACCCTTCCCTTACAGCTCAACAACAACACAACTCCGGGCCAGGCCGTCGTGGTGGAAATGATTCTGACCTTCCAGCTGGCGCTCTGTATCTTCTCCTCCACCGACTGCCGCCGCATCAGCCCTGTGGGCTCCCCAGCCCTGTCTATTGGCTTGTCCGTCACACTGGGCCACCTAGTGGGGGTGAGCAGTGCTGCCCCTTGGGGCAGATAATGGGGAGTACCTTCTGGACCTATGAGCCTGGCAGTTAAGGCCTGGAGTGGAGCTGCTCTACTCTGGCCCAGACTTGATCCCCTCAAACCTCCTCCAGTCCGAGGAAAGATGGAAGTGAGTGGGAGTTGGGATGGGGGCAGGAAGCCAAGCCCAAGCGCAAGACAGAGAGGAGAGGAGGGGTCCGTAGGAACCTGTGGAGGGAGAGGGCACCAGCCTAGGAACTGGGAGACAGTTGGAGACCTGGCTGAGCCCCTGAACTGCTGGGGGTCCCGGGGAGACTCCGGGCCGGGTGGGAGTAGACAAGCCCTCCTCACCACCTCCCTCTCTCTGTCCAGATCTACTTCACCGGCTGCTCCATGAACCCGGCCCGCTCTCTCGGCCCCGCAGTGATCATGAAGCAGTTCAGCCCCTCGCACTGGGTGAGTCTGGGCCTCCCCTGGCTCCCTGGCAATGAGGGCCTGGAAACCCGGCCTTAGCAGCTGACAGCTAACAGGACTTCCTGGATGATGGGGGCCTAGGGCTTGGGGGTGGCTGGAGAGAGAAGGGGATACAGCCAGAACAAGGACAGGTTTTTCAGGCAGGGGACCCTGGCTTGAGGGAGGGGCTGCCTATGTGTGTCTGTCCCTCTAGGGAAGGGAAAAGGATCTGTGCTCCAGTGTCACCCTCTGAGGATTTTGCTTCCATCTTTCTGGATGGTGGGGGGCAGGGGGTCCGTGTGTCTGTCCTCTTTGATGTTTTATTTCTCTGTCCCTGTTGGGGGAATGGGAAGAGTCTTCCTTCCTGTGGGTCTGTCCCTCTGGACAATCTGTCATCTCCTTTGAGAGCTCTCCAAAGTCTGTCTCTATCCCCATGTGGAAGGGAGAGGCGTTCTGTTCATCTCTCCGAGGATCTCCACGTCTGTTCCCTCTGAAGGTTCATTGGTCTCTCTTTAGGGTGGGGTTGGCGGGGCCCTGTCCCTCTGGAGATGTCTGTCTCCTCTGAGGATCTGGGTGTCTGTGGTCCATGTCCCTGTCATTGGGGAGTGGGGTGTCAGTGTATCTGCCCCTGAAGCGGAGAGAAGTCTTTCCTTCGGGAGGTCTGGAAGTCTGTCTGTCTGTCTCCTCTGAGAGGCCCATGGGTCTGTCCTCTGGAGGGGGAGGTCTTGGTCTCTGAGGCCTGGGGCTCAGCCGACTGACACGGCTCTGTCTCCACCAGGTGTTCTGGGTGGGGCCCATCATGGGGGCTGCTTTGGCTGCTATCCTCTACTTCTACCTGTTCTCCCCCAACTCCCTGAGGCTAAGTGAGCGTGTGGCCATCATCAAGGGCGTGTCTGAGCCCGAGGAGGACGGAGAGGAACGGAGGAAGACCATGGAGCTGACTGCCCAGTGACCAGCATCACGCAGGGGCCAGCCTCTCAGCCCCTGAACCGCAGGGGGAAAGAAGAGAAATACATGATGGCAAAGCTGCCTTCCCCCGCAGCTGGGGAGGAGGTGCTGACTCCCCAGGCTGAACGGTTAGAGTTGGAGCAGGAACACAGGATGGGGCTCTTGGGGTGGGGGCCAGGGGCTGGGGTCTGGTGGGGAAGGGGTGTCTCTGGCACAGGGCAGACTGCTGCAGCGAGGTCAGACCTCAGGGATCGTGAACGCAGTGCTAAGCTTGCAGGCTGCCCCAGGCCACGCCAGGAAGGGGTGGCTGGCAGTCTGTGTCCCCTCCCTCTCCCCAGCCCCTCCTCAAGAGCCAGGGGGATCCCAGCCCCCGGGACAGCAGAGGCTGACCCTCCCCAGAGCTCTTTAGGAGGGAGGCAACCTGGTTCATTACATGCCACCTTATTTATTTCTGCTCAAGGATGCATGGGGTAGGGCTGCTGGTGTTAGGGGCAGAGGCTTCCCAATAAACCACTGACATTCATGTTCGGCCTCGTCTCTCTCCAGAAGCCTCACCTCAGGGTACTCTGGCTCATCACCTCTCCTCCTCATCATCCCACACCCTCTTCCACTGTCTCCACAATCCTCTGTGGAAAGACAGGGAAGCTGAGGCCAAGGGAGGCTTAGAGAGTCAGAGAGGGGGTTGGGAGGAGAGAGAGAAAGAGACCAAATGTAGCCACAGAGCTAGAGGTCAGGAGGGGGCAGTGGGAGCAGAGAAGGAGGGGTCCTCACCGAGCCCAGCCTCTACCAGCCATGGTTCCCACTGTCTTCCCCTCTGGGCCTGTAGCTCTGCCTTTACCTGCCCTTGTCCCCTTGCCACTGACACTCCTTAGGAAACCCCCTTAAACTCACTAAGCCTCCCATCTCTTAAGCTATAAAGTGAGGATAAAAAATGCTTTCCTCACAGGGTCGTCGTGCGGTCAGATGAAGGGAGGGAGTGAGATTCCTGGGACTGGGCTGCTCTCTGTGGCGAAAGGGGCACACAACAGCTCAGGACACAACTCTTCATCAGAGTTACTCTGACTTTGAGTTCAAACCTGGTTGTGCAACTTTGGGTAACACAAGCTCTCTGAGTTTTAATTACCTCATCTGTAAAATGGGGATACTTGTACCCATTTCATGGATTGTTACGGGGATAAAATGAAACAATGGATAAAAGGGAAACACTTGTGCAAACAGGGACAGGCACCTCAGATCGAGGGCTCGATTTGCTAGTGTGAAAACCAGCACGTCTACAGCTGGGACCCCAGCCACACCGCAGTTCTGCGCCTCTGCTCTCCCGAGAGTGTTTAAACCTGAGCTCGCGCTTCTCTCTGGTGTGGGAACCTCTCCCCCGTGGTTTTCAGTTTTGCCTCAGAAGAGGAGGGCCCAGCAGGGCCAGGAGATGGACTGAGAAGCGATGGGAGAAGCTATAGACAGTGGCTGGCCAGGGTCAGTCCCAGGGGCTGGGGGTGAGGAGGGGCAGACTCCCCAGCCCTCCTCCAAACTTGAGTCTAGTATACGTAAATGGTAGCGGCAGCCGGCACCCTGCCCTGCCTGCCTGGCGGCTTGCAGTTAACACCAAATGGCAGTGTGTGTGAAGCCCCGGTAAAGGAGCAGTCCCCCACCCGCTGCCTCCACCCCTGTCCCTACCCAAGAGACCGGCGCAAGTGCCAGCTCCGACCAGCAGGGGGCGACCTCGTCCACGGAATCCACCGCTGCCGCGCTTCCTCTTCCCCGAGTCCCGGGTCTGGGCCAGACGCGGCGTGGAGGAGAGGGGACCCTGGGGAGTCTTTCAGGTCTGGGTCCCCTGGGCCACCAGGAAGCAGCTACCCCAAGCCCCCCCCCCCCCGCCACCCCACTGTCTGGGAGTGGGTACAAAAGAGAGGGGATTCCTCCGCCCGCCCCGGGGGCTGCCAGTTTCACCTGGTAGGAAAGTGGACAAGGTAACAGGATGGAGAGATGGAGGAGGACTAGGGGTCAAGGCCAGGAATAGAGAGGGTTGGCTGCCTAGATGGCTGGGCAGGAGGAGGGGTTGCTGGGAGGGTCGGCTCTCTCAACCCTAATCTGAGCCTCAGCTTCCTCCTCCGGCGGTTGTGGACGAGAATATCAGACCTCCTCGCAAGACTTCCACACAAGACTCAAGTGAGGCACAGCCGTGACTAGGAGGCAGCCCTCTGCATCCAGCCCAGCAACTTGGTTCCTTTCTCCGATGGGCCCCACGGGGAGCATGACGGGGTGAACGGTGGGCCTATGAGGGACAGGCCCTCAGGGATGGGCGGGGCACCCAGTCCGAGGGAGATACTGGCCAGTCCGAGGGCAAGGGTCCGCCTAGGGCCTGGGGCTGACTAGGTGCCGCGGGTCGGGCCGTTTGGCCAGCAGAGGGCGCTGCGCTCTCTGGTGTCGGATCCTCCCCGCGCGGCTCGAGTCCGGCGCTCACAAAGACCTGCGCACGCACGAGCCCGCACACGCTAGCGCCGCTCCACAAGGCTCTTCGGTTGTACCCAGCGGGCTCCGTGTTTCGGCATAGACCGCTCACTCCGCGTGTGTGCAGAGCCACATCGCCCGTCCCCTATTCCCTGTCACACGGCCGCTCGGGACCAGACCCAGCTGCCTGGCTCCACGTGTTATCAGCGAGGTATACGTGTGTGTCATATCCAAGCACACACATGCTCAGTCATCCCTCCGACCCTCTGCTCCACCTGAAGACAGAACCCAAAAGAGCTTTGATTCTCCTGTAGGAGGCTTCCTCCCCTTCCCTTCCCCGGGGCTGCCAGTTTCACCAGGTAGGAAGGTGGACATGGTGACATGATGGAAAGATGGAGGAGGACTAGGGGTCATGCAGAGAACAGACAGAGGGTTTGCTGTCTAGCTGGATGGACAGGAGGAGGGGTTGCCGGGAGGGTCGGCTCTGTCAGCCCCCCTCTGAGCCTCAGCTTCCTCTTTCCAGCATTTTGTGGGGATGGGTGAGGGGATACAAGGGAAACTACCTTGAATCTTTCCCTTTCTGTCATGTTTTTATTGTCCTTTCTCATCTCTTCCAGTTCCCTCCTCCTTCCCCTCCTTCTTGCTCCCCCATCCTCTCCAAGCCCCGAGAGAGAACCTCAATCAGAGCTCACATTGCCCCTCGGGCCCACGCACACACCACACACACATCTCCCCACAGAGACGCCCACCCCGCTAGTCTGGGGAGCCCAGAGACAGGCCTCTGAGAGGTTAAGAGCACACAGCCACCTGACAGGCAGCTGTAGGCAGCCAGGTGTGGGGCTTGTAAAAAGCTCTTGGACCAAGAGTGACCTCAAAAGCGTACTACTAGGGCCCAGGACTGGCTGGGCCCAGGGACATGCTGGCTGGAGCTGGAGCAAGCCCTGGCCCATGTCCACCTGTCCTCAGGGGGTGAAGGACCTTGTTCCAGGCCAGGCAGGGCCCCAGGAGGTTCTTCTCTAGGCCAGCTAGAGACAAGGGCTGCCACTACCCTTAAGGCTCTCAATCTCCAGGGCCCAGAGCAGGGGCCTCAGGTTCTGCTTGTCCTGGACCCTTCCCACCCCAGCACGGCCCTCACAGCTGTCTCGCTGGAGTGGGAAGGGAGGTGACAGTCCTAATAACCAACATCTTCTGACTGGGGGGTGCTCTCCTAGGGAGGTGGGAATTATCATCTCCACTTTTTTTTTTTTTTTTTGCCATACCACGTGGCTTGCGGGATCTTAGTTCCCCAACCAGGGATCGAACCTGGGCTCCTGAGAGTGAAAGCTCAGAATCCTAACCACTGGACCACCATGGAATTCCCAACATCTCCACTTTAAAAGTGGGAAAGCTGAGGTCACAGGAGTTAAGCACTGGTCAGGGGTACAGAATATGTGGCAGTGTTCAAATGCTTTCACTTTCTTTTCAAAGCTTCTCAACAGACAGGCATTACTGCTGTTTGTTGCCTGTGTACAGGTGCAGAAACTGAGGCTAGGTAAGATGTAGGGACTGGCAGGTGTCTGTCCCCAGGCCCTGTATGACCCTGTGTGAGGGGAGGGAAGGAGATAGATGCCCGTGAGATTCCCTGGGACAGCCAGGGAAATCCCCCCACCCTCACCCCCCAACCCCAGGGCCAGAGAGGAATGTCACTCACACTACATTCCTTCAATCTTGAGCATTTCTTGAAAGACTCCTTCATGCCAGACAAGACTGGGAGTCTGCACTGGAACAGTGGAGGCACCGAGGAAGTCAAAGCCGGAAGTAGCCCCTGGCTTTGCCCAAGCCCAGCTTCTCTACAAAGTTTGCCCTGACTCTCCTGGAGGCGAAAATTAGGGCAGGCTTCATAGAGGAATTGAACTTGAGCAAAGTCTTGAAAGAGAAACAAAGAGGAAAGGCATTCCAAACCCATGGTCTCTCCACTACTCCATGATTACCCAGGCACATTATAAAGCAGCAGCCAGGAGAGGGAGAAGTGAAAATCGTAGATGAGGCTGGGAATGGCCAAGAGAGGGCCCCAGTTGCTCAAAGGGAGCCAAGAACACAAGGAGGGGCCCCCTGATGCAGACACAGGAGGAGGGCTGCCTCTTCTTCAGGGCCAAAGGGAAGCTGGTGAGGGCATGGGGCAGCTGCAGGTGAGTTTGCGGCTGGGAGAGGGTGGGGTGGAGGGATGGGAAGAAGTCTTGCCAGCTGGTTTCACTTTCTAGGTAGGACAGGAGGCAAGTAGATCTGCTGGAGGAAAGCCAGAGCAAGGTAGGGTACTTGAAGAGAGTACGGAAGGTTTGAAGTAGGGCTTACAAGAATGGGGAGAGAGTCACCTGGCGACGGTGTGGTGTAAGGATTGCTGAGCAGAGCTGTGACCCTTACTGTGGCCAGAGACCATGGACTTGTCATGGCGGCAGTCTGCACGGCTGGGCGAGTTTCTCCAGCAGCGCTCAGCAGGGCAGATGGGGGCAGAGGGGTGTGGAGAAGAATGAGGATGGAGGGACATGGCTGGGGGGGGCGGGGTTCAGAGAACAGGGTGCTGGGACAGAGGGCACTGAGGTGAGATGCCAGGGGATCTGGCTGGAGAAGGTAGAGTCAAGCCAGGATGGCTGGATGAACAGAAAGGGGCTGGGGGAGACATTGGGGGAGGAATGTGACTGGGACTGAAATGGGGGAGGGTGGATGGACAGAGCCTG